TTTTCCATTTACATATGATGATATTGCTATTTCCTGCATATCTTGAAACTCTTGATATCCAAACATTTTTACAAGTATATCATATGATGTAGGTGGATTAGCTATTAAATTTTGTTGTGGTGGTATATATTGTTTATTTGGAAATTCCTGATACCATCCATATTTGAAACAAAATTCATGGTATCGACATAAGCCTAATGGAGAATACTTTGTAAATGCTTTTCAAGCCAAACATTTCTGAATTTTTTCAAAATCAAGTATATGTTTGGCAAATGTAGGTTCAAATTCTTTAGCTTTGATTTTTTCTTGAACATTACGTCCATAAGGTACAAAATCCTAAAGAAAATATTTTTTATTTTATTTATTTATTTTATTTATTCAATTTTGAATTAGCATATGATGCTCACTGTACCTTATCCCAATCAAATGTTTCCAAGTTAGTTTTTTGTTCTTGGATTTTTTTGCCTCGTTCTTCATTTCGTTTAGCAATATCATTAGAATTTCTTTGGTTTTGTTTTTTTCGTTCTTCGGCTATTTTACTAATATTTTTCTCATCAGTTTCAGAAAAATATGGAATATTACATGCTGATCGGGCAATTTTCAGCATATTTAACAGACCATTGTTATATTGAAGAACAGCTAGAGCATGTCGAGTACTATAGGTTTTCCAATAATCAATTTTTTTATCTTGAAAGCATAATTTAACTCGGTTGAATGCTTCATTATATGATGTTCTAATGTGAGTAATTAAGCTCTGTTTTGTTGGTATATAAAAGCATTCTTTGAGAAATTGACGAAACTTCTCTCTTTGATTAGATGTATTTTCTTTTAAATGTGGTGCTTTTAATTGAATATTAGGATTTTCTTTTCTCCAACATACTTCATCCCAACAAAGACTATGATCATCTGAAAGGTGAGCAACAAGACCATCAATTTGTACTTTTTCTAATTCAGCATCGGATACAGTAATTTTATTTTCATCAAGTTTTCGTCCACTTGCTGCATAGACACATGAATTGTAATAGGTCATTATTGTATTTTCATATTCTTTCCACATAGAACTTTTTGCTGCAACATAGAAAAATTAATAATTGAGAATCAGAATAAATAAAACATTTAGCAGTTTATTAATTATTTTTAATTAAAATGAAAATAATTACAACTTTTTACATCTATTCTATTACATAACTAATGTAAAATATTTACAATTATGAGTAAAAAATATTTGCAAAAAAAAATAAAAATTTTCTATCAAAAAAAATTATAATAAAATAAAGCTTAAATGATCAGCTAGCTGCATACTAATGACAAAAAGATAATCTAAAATCATTAGTACTTAAGATTGTTTATTACGTTAAACTGTTACGTTAATATTATGTTATTATGTTATTGGTAAAAATACTTAAATTACCTTCAATAACTTACCAATCTTTGCTCTAATATTTTTGCCAATATGTTTTAAATCCGCATATACTTTGCTCACACATGGAATATTATTTAAAGTCTTATTTGAATTTAGATCACCATCTACTCCAATATCTAAAAGTACTTCAGCTGCTTCTAATACTGGAACAATTTTTTCAATAATTCGTAATAATATTGCATGTTCCATTTGCCGTGATGTCTTTTCATGATTGCCATGAAAAACCTCATATTCTTGGCCATTTCTTTTTTTTAATTTACGTGGTTTTTCAGCAGTAGCAAAAGCAATAACAGGTTTGTGATCATATCCTATTATAAAAAAAATTGAATTTGTTTTTATTTTATTAAATATTGACAAAGTCTTTTTTCTTTTACCATCAAGATTTCCTTGATATATTAGTTCTCCACTAGCCTGGTTTGCATTC